TACGATAAATGTAACAACAACAATCTTCTACAACCACTACGATAAATGTAACAACAACAACAACAATCTTCTACAACCACTACGATAAATGTAACAATAACAACAACAATCTTCTACAACCACTACGATAAATGTAACAACAACAACAATCTTCTACAACCACTACGATAAATGCAACAACAACAACAACAACTAGCAGGAATAAACATTAATACCTTTCAACTAATTAACCAAAATTAAAATTAATCTATATTTGCGTCAAGTAGTCAAGACTCTCACTTAACTGACCCTAACCTAACCTAACCTAACCTAACCTAACCATACCATAAGAAAACTAATCTAATCTCGTGTGTCAGACTTCAATGTCAACAATGTCACAACCAGCATTCATGCCGTTTCCATTACAACTACCAACCACACAACAACCACCACCACCACCTGCAACACCACCACCTGCAACACCACCACCACCACCTGCAACACCTACGGATACTCAACAAATCCGTCCACTCAGAGTATTGTATAAGGATTAATTTCGTTGATTTATTTATTGATTAATTGATGATGAAAGATGACTTAATAATGATAACTTTTAACATAACTAAATATTTAACCTACGCAACACAATCAAAACATCTGTAACTTTTAACCTAACCTAACCTACACTCACTAAACACAGCCATAACACCTGTAACACTCTGCCTCCCCTAGCAAGTACTTAACCCTGTCTGTGTGTTTGTTGACAGTGTAAGTCGTTCGAGATGGCGTGTCGTGATGGCTCAGGGTGCATCTGGTCAGTGATGCCTGACGGCCTGCAGGACTGTTTGGACGGTAGTGATGAGCACAACTGCTTGGTAAGCCTTGTGGGGGTTAAATTTCTGTTCTTTTTGTCTGTCTATCTGTCTACTCTCTTTGTCTTTTCCTGTCATTTTTAATCTTCTTATTTCAATTTCTCTCTACGTCTGTCTCTTTCTTTCTAATTATCTCTGTGTATCTCTGTCTGTCTCTCTTTTACCACGAGAGATCCAGTGTGTGTCTCAAGAAGCGCCATATCTCTCTTACTTCTCCCTCAGGGCACCTGTTCACGCTCGGAGTTCCCGTGTGGCTCAGGTGATTGTGTCCCATGGCGCAAACGCTGTGATGGTGATAAGAACTGTGCCGATGGTTCCGACGAGAAGCACTGTGGCCAATACCATGACGACCAGCCCCCCGAACCTGCCTTCCAACCATTACCACCACAGCCTCCTCCAACAACCACAACGACAACCACGACACCCGTCCCTATCGGCCCTAGACTGGTAAGGTAACTGATGATGTGGTTGTAACTTGACAGGAGCTGCCATGCCCCGGCCAATCAGCCTATTGCAGACTCCTTATTTTCTTATGTTCTTATCTAAACTGTAGTGAGATTATCCTTATGTTGTCGTCTATATTAATATACATCACAGCTTATGTTTTTATTTGTTGTTATGTTTATATATATTTGTCGATTTAGATAGATTTGTTCTTGTTATTGTTCATATTATTGTTTTAGATACGCTAATTATAATGTTTTTGGTAGGTTATTTTTCTATTTAAATTTTCATTTCTATTTTGACATAAGTAACTACCTGGCCTCGTTAACTACCTGGCCTCGTTAACTACCTGGCCTCGTTAACTACCTGGCCTCGTTAACTACCTGGCCTCGTTAACTACCTGGCCTCGTTAACTACCTGGCCACAATTACCTGGCCTCTTCATTTACGTTTTACAGCATACGATCTTATGTTTATATAACTTACTTTGTCTCTGAGGTTAATACTACAGTGTGTATTAGTATAAACTAAACATACACCAAGACGGAGTTAACTAGGAAATATACAAACAAATACACACAGTAATTAATAATCATACAAACTATACAATTATTAAATGAAAATCCAACAACTTATCAGTTGATTAAGAAAATTTAATAAACAATGATTGGTGAACTGAAAGTGTTTTAGCGTGAGTGTGGTAACCCTCCTTCCTCCCCCACCAGGCATCTCCGGCAGGCGCCCCCTGTGTGCCCGAGTTGGGATACTTCCGGTGTGAGGACGGTGGAGCGTGTCTGCCAGCCTCCCTCGTGTGTAACAATGTCACAGACTGTTCCGATGGCTCCGATGAAGGCAAATGTTTAGAGTTTCTTGGGGAGCTGGGGAGGAAGAAGAGGGAGAATGTCATAGGCGGGGAGGAGGTCAAGTGGCAGGCGGGAGAGAAAGAGGAGGGTGTTGCAGGCGGGGGAGAAGAGGGGGAGGGAGGGGTTAGGTATGGAGAGAGAGAGAGAGAGAGAGAGAGAGAGAGATGACCTTTATTATATATTCAACCTAAACTATACCTGTAAGTGTGTACATAATAATAATATCATATTGTTACCTGACGAAGGTGTGTGTGTGTGTGTGTGTGTTTGTTACAGCGCTGCAGTGCCCCAACACCTGTATCTACGGCTGCTACAAGACTCCTGCCGGCCACCAGTGTTTGGTCTCGACCAAGTACTATCTCGACGACCAAGACACCTGCAAGGGTAAGCCACTACACCTGTCTCCATACACCTGTCTCCATACACCTGTCTCCATACACCTGTCTCCATACACCTGTCTCCATACACCTGTCTCCATACACCCGTCTCCATATAACCCGTCTCCATACAACTGTCTCTATACACCCGTCTCCATACACCTGTCTCCATACACCTGTGACATAATGAGTGTTTTTTTTTACCTGTTAATATCCTTTGAAGTTTAAGTAACGTATCAGTCATTTCTATCTACGTTATTTAAGAATTATTAATATTCAATCACCACAAGTAACAGTAAAATCACTAAAAAAAAAACATTGGTAATTAAGGAATTATAATAATTTTTTCCTTGAGATATGATGAAGTTTAACTATTTTCTTCTTCCATCTTTATGTCTATTATCCTTCACCTTGTTATCTCCCTCCTCCTCTTCATTTTCCTTTTCCTCATTTACCTCCTTCGTATTTTCCTCCTTTTCCTTCTTATCTTATCCTCCTCCTCCTTCTCGTCCTTCTCCTCTTCCTATTTTTTCCTTCTGTTTTCCTCCTCCTCCTACTTCTCCTCCTCCTCCCCTTCCTAGTTCTTCTCCGCTTCTTACTTTTCCGTCTCCTCCTACTCCTCCTCCCTCTTTCTTGCCTTTCCTTCTTTTCCTTCTCCTCCTCCTGCTCCTTCTCCGCCTCCTGCTGCGCCTCCTCCCGTCCACAGTGGGTCCTCCGCCGGGATTCCTGCTGGTGACAGTAGGTCGTGACATATTTGCCATCACCCACGACGGCTCCAGAAACTACAGTGTCCTTACTAACAGTGACGTGGACCTGGTGGTGGTAGTAGTAGTGGGGTGTAATGGGGTGTGTTGTTGGTGTTGTTAGTAGTAGTAGTGGTGGTAGTAGTAGTAGTAGTGGTAGTAGTAGTGGTGGTAGTAGTAGTATTGGGGTAGTAGTAGTGGTGGTAGTAGTAGTAGTGGTAGTAGTAGTAAAGTAGTAGTAGTAGTGGTGGTAGTAGTAGTAGTGGTGGTAGTAGTGGTAGTAGTAAAAAAAACAAATCAGTGTTGCCAGCTCTTATTCACCAGGGTATAAAAAATTCTCACTTCTCTTATCGGTAATTTCCTTTCAATAGTATACAAGGCATGACGATGTATTCACGTTCCCACTTTCTTCCAATTTCTTCTATATGAGGAAATAAATCCACCTAGTGTTAGAATTTATTTCTCATCGAAAACACCCATTATAATTGTACCATTTTTAATCTGTAGTTTTTCTGATACGTATAATAAAGACACAATCTATTCTAAGATTTTTTTTTTTCTCGATTTCAGTTTTTAATTTATACCGTAAAGAAAAAATGAAGATAGATTTTCCTCTCATATAAATCAATGGGAAGAAAATTTCCCTCGAGTTAAATTTTCTTTTTTTTCATTTTTTCCCACTTCTATACAATAAGGTGAAATAAGAACACACTTCACCTTCCTGTCTCTTGTTCATGAGGACAGATAAATGGACAGTACTTTAAGGTAGTTACGGGAAATGTTCTCTTTTATAGGCTCTGTCGTAGACGGAGTTGGACAGTCATGCTTGGTCTATACGTAACAGTGATGGTTAGGTTGGGTTAGGTTGGGTTAGGTTATGTTATGTTAGGTTAGTTTAGGTTATGTTAGGTTAGGTTTCAGACCACAAGTTCCCTTTATCGTTGATGGTGGTGGTGAAGGTAGTGGTATGCGCACACACACAATAATGGTTGCCCCTCGTGTAAAGAGGATGGCCGGCCCAAGGGCCACCTAGGAGGAATTGTTGTAGAAGCGGTCGCCAACACAACAACCACACCCTGTTAACGAGTTGCATGGCCCAGTGTCAAGGAATAGTCCAAGAAGACCGGAATAACTCGCCAACTGCACTGGCTAACCATTACCCTGGAATACGATCCGCAAATCGATTAACATCCAGGTTCCCAATTACTGCTGGGTAGACAGAGGCAAATGGGGTAAAGAAACTTACCAGTTTCACCTTGACCGAGGATCGAACTACGGTCCGCTAGATTGCGAGGCGAGAATGCTGACCATTACACCACAGAACACACACACACACACACATGCCACACAGATTCAAGCATACGAGAGAGAGAGAGAGAGAGAGAGAGAGAGAGAGGAGCTCTCCCTGGACACGCCGTGATATAGTTTTCCTTGTCCAACAGAAATTGTCTCCATACATATTCACGTCTGAGTTGCTGTCAGCTCAGAGCTCCACCGTGTTCCCCACTACCTGTGCTCTCTGCTTGATTGATTCTGATTGATTGATTCTCTGATTGATTGATTCTCTGCTTGATTGATTCTTTGATTGATTGATTCTCTGATTGATTGATTCTCTGATTGATTGATTCTCTGATTGATTGATTCTCTGCTTGATTGATTCTCTGCTTGATTGATTCTCTGCTTGATTGATTCTCGATTGATTGATTATCTGATTGATTGATTCTCAGATTGATTGATTCTCTGATTGATTGATTCTCTGTTGGATTGATTCTCTGCTTTGATTGATTCTCTGATTGATTAATTCTCTGATTGATTGATTCTCTGCTTGGTTGATTCTCGATTGATTCTCTGATTGATTGATTATCTGATTGATTGATTCTCTGATTGATTGATTCTGCTTGATTGATTCTCTGATTGATTGATTCTCTGCTTGATTGATTCTCTGCTTGATTGATTCTCTGATTGATTGATTTCTCGATTGATTGATTCTCTGCTTGGTTGATTCTCTGATTGATTGATTCTCTGATTGATTGATTCTCTGTTGATTGATTCTCTGTTTGATTGATTCTTGATTGATTGATTCTCTGCTTGATTGATTCTCTGCTTGATTGATTCTCGATTGATTGATTCTCTGCTTGATTGATTCTCTGCTTGGTTGATTCTCTGCTTGATTGATTCTCTGCTTGATTTGATCCACTGCTTGATTGATTCTCCGATTGATTCTCTGCTTGATTGATTCTCTGCTTGATTGATTCTCTGCTTGATTGATTCTCTGATTGATTGATTCTGCTTGATTGATCCACTGCTTGATTGATTCTTGATTGATTGATTCTCTGCTTGATTGATTCTTGATTTATATTCCTCGCTTAATTGATTCCCTGCTTGATTGATTTTGCTTAATTGATTTCCTGGTTTGATTAATTCTCTTTGTCTTGATTCTCTGCTTGATTGATTTCTGATTGATTGATTCCTGCTTAATTGATTCTGCTTGATTGATTCTTTGCTTAATTGATTTCCGCTTGATTGATTCTCTTTGATTGATTTTCTGCTTGATTGATTCTCTGCTTGATTGATTCTCTGATTGATTGATTCCCTTTAATTGATTCTGATTGATCCACTGCTTGATTGATTCTCTGCTTGATTGATTCTCTGCTTGATTGATTCTCTGATTGATTCCCTGTCTAATTGATTCCCGCTTGATTGATTCTTTGCTTAATTGATTTCGCTTGATTGATTCTCTGCTTGCTTGATTCTCTGCTTGCTTGATCTCTGCTTGATTGATTCTCTACTTGATTGATTCCCTGCTTAATTGATTACCTGCTTGATTGATTCTCTGCATGCTTGATTCTCTGCTTGTTGATTCTCTGCTTACTTGATTCTCTGCTTGATTGATTCGCTGTTTGATTTCTGCTTGATTGATTCTCTGCTTGATTGTTTCTCTGTCAGTTATTTTCTCTGCTTGATTGATTCTGCTTGGTTGATTCTCTGCTTGGTTGATTCTCTGCTTGATTGATTCTCTGCTTGATTGATTCTCTGCTTGCTTGATTCTCTGCTTGATTGATTCTCTGCTTGCTTGATTCTCTGCTTGGTTGATTCTCTGCTTGACTGAATCTTGGCCTGACGGAAAATGGAGAGATGGCAAGTGCTAAGAGAGAGAGAGAGAGAGAGAGAGAGAGAGAGAGAGAGAGAGAGAGAGTATGATATAAAAGAAATATAAATATTAGATAACAATATATAGTAAACATTATCTAAGTTTATTTAACCTCATATAATCTCTCGTCGCCCTCATCAGCGTGGAGTTTCCTATCCCCTAAGGACGAGGTGGTGTACTGCAGCTGGTGTGTCCGGCCTCGTGTACAGTAAACCGCTGAGACAAGATGTAGCGTCACTTATCTCGACCAATGACTGTAAGTGTGGTGGGGTAATGATTGTGTCTGTCTGTCTGTCTGTCTGTTTGTATGTTTGTCTGTTTCTTTGTTTGAATGTTTGTCTGACTATTTGTTTTTTCGTTTGTCTATCTGTCTGTCTGTTTGAGTAGCTGAATATCTGTTTGTCTGTCTGTCGTTTTTTCTGTATTTTTGTTATTATTGTTATTTATTATTTTCTTGTTAATTATTATTATTATTATTATTATTATTATTATTATTATTATTATTATTGCAGAAGTAGAAATAGCAATAGTAGTAGTAATAGTAGTAGAACCACCAAGACTAGGAGGAATGGGATTGACCAATCCAGAGGAGATTGCTGCCACCGAACATCAAAACTCAGTTAAGCTCACGCACCCCTCACGGACCACATAATAGCTCAGAATGCAACAGAGGAGGTGGATACTAGAGAAGTAAACAAGATTCGAAGGTCCATTACGACAGAACGACAGCACGGCCAAAGTCATAAGTTGCAGCAACTTTGCTGCAGGTTCCAGAAAAATTTGACAAAAAAAGTAGCTATAGCGCAGGAGGTGGCGTCGTTGAACTGGTTAACTACGTTACCGATAAGGGCAAATGGTTTCCAGCCTAATAAACAAGAATTTATAGATGCTATTGCTTCAAGGTACGGCACAGTAGATGGTTTGCCCTCCCAATGCGTGTGTGGCTCTTCCTATGATGGCGATCACGCCATGGTCTGCAAGAGGGGTCATATGTATGAGGCATGAGGTAAGGATCTCACAGCAAATATTGTTGAAGGAAATTGCCGGACGTCATGGTAGAACTGACCTCCTTCCACTGGATGGCGAGATCTTCCAACAGTGACTTCAAACATCTAACGAAGCCTGTGGACGTTCAGTGCTCGAGACTTCACGCGAGACGCTTTCTGACATCAGGATTTTTGATCCTCTATGGCCGCTTGTCACTGTAACCTAGCTCTCGATGCTGCACTAGGGAGGAACGAGGAACGACAAGAGAAGGGCATATGGAGAGAGAATTCAAATGTTGATCAAGGCAGCTCACTCTAGTGTTTCAACTTGTGGATGGGCCCAAGTTCAAGATGTTTTACACCAGACTGCGGAGTTGATCTCCGAACAGAAGCAGCAGCCCAGAAGTTATGTTACAGCCTGATGAGATGTCGACTGTCCTTCTCTCCTTCGGTCGGCTTTGTTTCGCTTTAGGAACGAGAGCTTCTGCCCTACTCCGACAACTGCATGTAGATATTGACTATGAGGTTACAGTCACTGAATGCATAGATCTGCGGCTCAACTAATTTAACACAGATAGGATAGCTTATGTATTAGGATATTTAATAAGGCAAAATAAATGGTGCAAGGTGGCTATTGGGGAGGCTGAGGCCACGTTAAAAAAAAAAAAAAAAAAAAGTAGTAGTAGTAGTAGTAGTAGAAGTAGTAGTAGTAGTAGTAGTAGTACCAGTTACCAGCAGCATTCGTCGAAATATCAATATAACACATGCATTAATCATCATCAATCATCAACAAACATCAATCATCACCGTAGACTCCTCACAGTGCAGTCATGGTTTGAGGACGTGGCTGTAGACTACGTGGGTCGAATCTCTACCTCACAGACACTAAGAACAAGAGGATCAGTGTCTGTAAGATGAAAATGATTACTGTCACACTCTACTGCCTACCGACCACACTCCCAGGGCCATACAACTGACTTTTACAAAGGTGAGAGGAGGAGAGGAGGAGTGAGGAGTGAGGAGGAGGAGGAGTGAGTGAGTGTAGGAGGTTAGAAGGAGTGGCATGAGATAAAGAGTAAGTGAGTTTCTTGTTGAATATTATCATTTTATTCACTAACCTATTCCACAGCCAAATAAGACCCTTCTTTATCACAACATTGACTATATCTTAAAAAGGCATTAACCTAACTCTCAACTCAAAACAATATACTGTATATATATACTTTAAAGCTCCACTATACGAGAATATAAAACAGAGGAATTTCATTAACATATAGAAAGAAATTTTTTGGATATATATATAACATAGGACTCTGGTATTTAACAGGATGGTGTATTGGAGTACTGCAGGACCTATGGCAACCATCCATAGGGCAGGGATGGATGGTTCAGATAGCCCCTTCCTTGCCAGTTCTCTCGACCATCCGCCTTCACCTTCGACTCTCGACACCGTAATCTGCACTGGTATGACAACAACAGCAAGATCATGGAACGCTTGAAAGATGATGGTGATTCTTTGCATGAACTTTGGGGAACTTTATGTGTGTGTGTGTGTGTGTGTGTCATTCATACTAACACTGTGTCTGGTATATTAACATCAAGTGTAATAATATGAATTTAATGTTTAACTCTCTAATAACTCACAAACAACACAACATCCATAATAATTGGAAAATCTTAATAAATCACCATAAATAACAAAATTTATAATAATATACGAAATAAAACATTTAATAATGTAATAACTCAACAAAATTCACGAACCGCAAAACAAAATATAACTCACAAAAGTACAGTAAAACAAAATCCTTAAATACCAAAATATCATATTTTATCATCTATAAATGACACTGTTTATAATCACACGACGAATGCAAAATAAAAGGGTGCGCTTTACAAATCAAGTTAATCTGCTATGCATTGAAATACGAAAGTTTACGAGATGGTCTATGTACAGCGGCAAAATCCTGAAGAACTGTTTACAAACTTACATAATAGACAGGAAGAGGCTCACTATCCCGGATGATTGGTACAGTGATGCTCTGTTTACTACGCATAGTATACTCGGTGTAAAGATCGTCTCTTTTGTAAATATTATCGTTACGTTTATGACATCTAGGCACGATGACTTCCTTCCCTGTGTTGTAAGGATGATATCACGGCTTTTTATCTGTCTGTCTGTCTCTCTGTCTACCTCTGGTCTGTCTCTATCCATCAGTTTTTTTTATCACTTCTACAGAGGTCGGGGCCGCTGGTCGCGTCTGTATACGATATGGCGGTGTGGCAAGATCATCTCTTCTGGACTGATGACCTGCACAGAAAGGTGTGTGTTGATGCTGTGTTGATGAAAGATGCTGTGTTGATGCTGTGTTGATACTGTGTTAAGGCTATGTTGAGTTTGTTTGATACTGTTTTGATGCTGTGTTTGTGCTGTGTTAATGCTGTTTTGGGGATCTATAGATGTATTAATGCTGGGTTGATGCTGTGTTGATATCTCAGGTGATGACGTGTACCGTAGATAACTGTGAGGACGACATACGGGTCTTACCACCACCACCATCACTCAAACCTCCTGGATACACCACTACAGCCCAGACAACTTCGGCTTTCGTAATAAGGTAACGCAACTTAGATGCTGTTTTAACCCAGTGACTCAGATGATTGTCCTTATTAAAAATTACTCAGGTTAAAATTGGAAATACCTGTTCTAATTATACGATATTACCTCGTTTTATTAATTAATTTTCTTTCGTCTACCTGTAGTTATGGAACCCCTGCCAGTTTGACTTCTGTAGCCATCTGTGCCTCTTATCACCGGAATCACAGTTCAGCCATGTGTTCCTGTTCCTGACAACCTTACCCTGAAGAATGATAATGTTTCCTGTGGTAATAGTAGTGTCCCAACTCCCTACGGTTACCTACAGGGACATGTCTAACGTCCTCAACACCAACAGGCGGTAGATCAACACCTGTCATCACCTTTGAGTCTTACGAGTTATTAACACCTGTAAGATCTATATATACAAACTCAACACCTGTCATCACTTTTGAGTCTTGAGATTAACAACACTCTATACTGACATTCACAGCTCAACACCTGTCATCACCCTTGAGTCTTGCGAGATTAACAACACCTCTTATACTCGATATTCACAGCTCAACACCTGTCATCACCCTTGAGTCTATGAGATTAACAACACTCTATACTCGATATTCACAGCTCAACACCTGTGTATCTTATAAACTACAGGAAGCTCTAAACCGACTCACAACCTAATCCAGTGTAGAAAATAATCCCAAATGCTTCACAGTGTTCCATGGATCATCAGTTAACTCGATAATGTAATTCAGTAACAGTTACGTGGGTGTTTTAGTACAACAATTTACATAAACCTTGAATCCGTATTTTTAGGAATTTGTACGTGATTTTTTTTTCTTAACTGAGAGAACAATAGAGAACAGTGTAAGAATCTTTGTGTATTTTAGAGTAATTTCAATTTAGAGTTCAGCTTATGCTTCAAGCTTCCATTATTCAGTTATTAATAAGCTTAATTATTGGGTTATTTAGGTTTTTGTTGTTTACTTCTTTTCATTTCCTTTATTTTAATGTTCTTTCATTTATCGTTTGTTACCTATTATTGGATTTTTTGTTTTTGGTCTTCAATGTAATAAATTCTCCTGAGTTCATTTTTCTCCCATTTATTAGAAGTTATTTCTAGTATTTTATCTTTCCATCACTTTTATTCGAGATTCTCTTATTAATAAACATAAAAATACAATATATGATGAATGGAAATACTAAATAAATGATTTAAAGTATAACTCTGTGTGTGTGTACCTGCATTTGATTAGAATATTAATATTATGATGGAAATTTCGAGGATGAACAAGACAATATAATATCCTTCACACCTGCATTTGCCTTTGCTAAGTAAAAGTTAACTAGATATTGTGTTTTATTAATGTTCCTTATTTATTCTTAGCTGTTGAGTGCGGGGCCTGAGGCTTAACACAGCTGAAATGTGAAGCAAAACACACACACACACACACACACACACACACACACACACACACACACACACACACACACACACACACACACACACACACACACACACACACACACACACACACACACACACACACACACACACACACACACACACACACACACACACACACACACACACACACACACACACACACATACACACACACACGCACACAGCAGTAATAAATTAAATGTTTTATACGAATACTTTATATTACTTACAATAATATAAAGAGGTGAGTGTCTGTCTGTCAGTTCCGGTCACAGCACCAAAACAGAAGCAGTTACAGACCTAAAACTTTACCCACACATTACCTGGGTGCCGAGGTTGTGTACCTTGGTATTACTATTGACCACGGAGCCCCGGGTGGTCCAGGCAAGAACCAAACATCTTCCCCGACTGAGATATTACCGCGGGAGGTGGTGACCCGTGTCAGGGACGGTGAACTGGGGCAGTCAGGGTTATACACCTAACACGAGCAAGGCCAGGCAATATTCACCATAACATGATTCACTGTTCATAGTATCAGAAGCTCCTAGTAAGTTACTTGATCCTCACAGAGTAAAATAAATCCTCAATCAGAAAATTTTAAATGCCTCTAATCAATGGCTGCATGGTGGGAGGTGCACGGGCCGCCGCTCACCCTACTGGCCGCACTTGACATTTCACCAATATTGAAAAACCTACACATAAAATCATTGAACAAAACAGAGTGAGGTGGGAGGCTGAACGTCACGATGTTCACCAGAGAAAAAGTTCAACGTGACGAGATATAAAAAGTTCAATTGATGTAGGAAATACTTTTATAACGGATGACCGGGAAGTGGGTGTTGTCCTTTTAGATGTAGACAATATATCTGTTGTATATACAGTATATTCTGTTATACTCATATATGTTGTATGATCAAGAGGTGAGTTTCTCTGTTGTTGTATGTCAGCTGCTACACACACACACACACGCACACAAACACACACACAAGTCAACAGCCCCACGGAAATCAGCAAATCAGCTACGACCTATTGCAATCCTTATTTAGCCCTAATCTGTGAAAGTTTTGTGTTTGACTGGGCTTATGCTGATATTGCAGGAGTCGTAGACCCTCAGCAATTTGGCAACATGAAAACTTCCTCCACCACTCACTGTCTTGTCAGCTTTCTTGATTACATATACCGCCATCTCGAGAAACGAAAAACGTCTGTAGCTGTCGCCTTCATTGATTTCACTAAAGCGTTCGACCTAGTCGACCACAATATAATCATAAACAAAGCTATTGACCTCGGGCTTCGGAGAAGTCTCATACCATAGCTTACAGACTTCCTCAGTGACCGACGCCAAGCTGTACGCTTCCGAGGGGCTGTCTCCACCTTTCAGTCACTCACCTGTGGCGTCCCCCAAGGCACCAAGATGGGACCACTCTGCTTCCTTATGGTCATCAATGATGCCCTAAGAGAGCTCTGCTCGTGGAAATATGTCGACGACTCCAATTATTGGACTGAAGCGCAACAACCGCTCAACTATACCGCCTTCAGGATTATAACAGTCTCCAAACTGGGCCACCAACAACCATGTCACCATCAACCATACCAAGACAATGGTTATGCACATCAACCTCTCCGACATTGTCCCACCTCCATTACCCTAGGTCCGAACACACCCAGGTTGTAGATTCCACGGTTTCTTGCCTTACAGACAACAACCAAATTAAAACCACACGCTGTAGTTGTCAAATCCTCCAGTTTCTGTCTCCACCTCCTCCGCCGACTCAAGTCCCTCGGAGTTCCTAACTGGAGCTCCTCATGTTTACAATAACATTCATCTTCCTAGCTCACCTATGCCTCCCCCACCTGGTCTTCTCCCTAAATGCCACAACGTAAACACCTAGAAAAGTGCAGGGCATGCAAGATTATTCTCTCCTTCTACTCCATACTATCTAGCGCCTCAACACACTGACCTTGACTCACTGACCATCACCACGGCCTCATCTGCAAATTTGGTAAGAAGCTTCTACACCATCCCCGACACCGGCCCACCACCTGAGATCCTGTCCGAGAAGTTGCTGTTCGACACCACAAACTGCATCCAGCCCATATGTGCAATGGGTCCGATCACAGGCATCAGCCTGTCCCAACCATTGTAAAAATTATCAATAACATGTAAAAATCATGTATTCACCCCTGTGCAACACTGCCCTTACACTTGTCACTATGTTGAAATGAAATTGTATTTTGAGCTGATCCCATCTAATATTATATCTATTTTAGTCACTTATGTCACTTGTATATTATTTGTAATTCGTAACCTATTCCCCAAATATGTAACTGTATATTTTCAGCCTTCTTCTTGCAAGCCTTTCAATAATACCGTTAATTATTATTATTATTATTATTATTACAAACACACACACGCACACAAACACACACACACACACACACACGGTTAGGTTAGGTTAGGTTAGATTACAATTAAATT